AATTGCGTCAACTTGGGGGGAGAACCTGGAAGCAATGGGCAAACGGATTCAACCCACCAAAGACACATCAACGACAGAAACATGCGCCAGAGAAGGAAAAAGCAATAAACAAGCACACATGGGGGAGAAACACGTACACAAGCGTTCGCGACAAGCTCCACAACACGCACGACTCTACTGCGCAGCCCGCATGTCCAGCTTTAAAGTGATTTGGAGACCCACTCGGAGTCAAGAAGGCGATCTGCCTCGTCGAGCACGAGATGGTTGCAATCCGTCAGAGACAGCTGCGAGAGAAGCAGAGCAGTGTTTGCTGAGGCGCTGTGAAGTCTCTAGCAATACGCGTTTGTGATTTTCGTTGGTGTCTCAGTTGCTGCTGTACGTAAGGGCATCAGATTCCTGCTCCCCAGGCCCTTGTTAGCAGTGGTAAAGCTCACCCTCTTCTCCCTTAGCAACGTTAACAGGGACAAGGGAGTTGCAAAGACAGCATCTGCCGCGCCGTATCGGGTTCCTGGATGCGACTGAGGGAACGCAGCTTTGAAACCTGTGCCATCTGCATCGCACCCAAACCGCAAGAAGCTGTACAAAAGATGAATGCATGCGCTTAACCATAGGCTTCCTCAAGGGCATACATCCGCAATGCACCTATACTTGTGCGCAAATAAAAAGGCCGAAATGCAGACTGCCACTATTCCCCCGTCTCCAATAGACCGGACGGGCTCCACTATCAAAAAAGATGGTGCAACTCGGCCTATGCGCCAACGATGCAGGTCTTGTTGTAGCTGTCGCTGCATTGCAAACGTAGAAGGATGAAACATACCTGTGAGCTTTTGGAAGGTCCTCAGGCTCTGTCTTGCCAGCTCTCGAGTAGGCGACAAGACAACCAACCGGCCGAAGGCATTGCTGGGTGCCTGAAGAATAAGCAAGAGAATGCATGCGTGTGGGGCATTTTGTTCCCGTTGTGCTGCAGCGCAGTCTAAGAGTAGACGCTGTATAGAAAAAATGCACACCGGGAAGCTCTACACGAACGCAGCATAGAGCTGCTTAGCAGCGCTGGGGCGGGGCAGCGCTGTTCTGAGAAGAATTCAACAAAAGTCAGAAGGCAATAAAGAGCTACACACTATTCCCCAAACATCAGCAGATAAGAGCACGAAGAAGCGACGTAAACAACAACAACAACTCGCAAGAGGGCGTCTGAAAACACGGGGATGAGAAACAAGAATTAATATCAACAAACCTTTAGACAGGCAATGAGAGGAAGCAGAAAGGCGAGGGTTTTGCCGCTACCGGTCGGGGCCGAAGCCAACATGTGGTGTCCTTTCAGCATTAGCGGCAGTGCCTGCGGTGCATGCATACAAGATAGGTGCATTCTAGCAGCAGCTGGTGGTGCGTCAGTTTCTTCCGCTTCACAGACTGCTACGTACTACACACATCTGCATACGCATGGCAATTTCTAAGCAACTGACGGCAGAGATCATCACGTTTGCCCCAGCGGCAACTCTTAGTGCGAGGAAAATTTTATTCCACTGGATAAGGGATGCAATGAGACCCCAGGTTGGCAGCTCTAGCTGTTGCATGGA